ATAAAAGCATTTATAGAACTTGTTGTATTCTAAAAAGTTTTAGATCTCATTGAGATCTAAAACTTTCATGTTGGAAGTTTTTCTTGAATCATCTTGCATCTTGGTGAAAATTTAGCATGAAGTTATGAAATTAACATGTATAAAAACACTTAGAAAAATTTCTCTGTCTTGGAGACTTTGACTTTTTTAATTTTACTTTTGACTTTCTTGATTTCTTGATGACCAAGCTTCATATTTTTGAATTTCTTGATGAAATGTGATCTTTGAAACTCAATTTTGATTAAAAAAAAGTCAAAGTTTGACTTTCCAGTGTACAGTTGACTTTTTCACATATTGACCAAATTTCAACTATCAATCAATTGTCCTTGTGAAATAAATTGAACCATGCCGTTAGGTCAAGATGATGCATTTTAATCCTTGATATCATGTTTCAAACCAATAAGTCATGTATTAGGTCAAAAGTCAAAAATCAAGCCTTCTTAGTCAAAACCCTAATTTTGACCATTTTGCCCTTTTGATGATCTGAGTAATTTTCTTGGGGAATTATGATCCAAACTTGATCAAATGATACATATGAGTTCAAATTTTAATATGCGTCAAAAATCTTGAAGTTTGACTATAAGTTGACCACAACTGACTTTTTACCCAATACAGCTGATTTTAGGTCATCTGATCAATTGACTGAGCCAACTTGAACTGCAAGTCTTGAAACTTGACATGAGCAATATTGAAAGTACATAATGATCCATGAGATTCAAATTAGGCACTAAAATTCCAATTGTCCTTGTGAAAACTCAAACCCTAATTTGAGGTATCAGTGTTTATGAGATATCTTGACCTAGTCAATCCTTGTGCAAGCTTGAGCTATTGAAGATCTTGTAGGAAATGTCTTGAGAAATGAGAGAGAAAATTTTGGGGTACAACATTAACCAACAGAAGCTCAAGCAAGTATGGAAAAAAATGAGAATAAAGCACTTGAATGGGATCAAACTGTTCTTCAAGCCTCTTATGTCCTTGCTGATAAAACATATCCTTGAATTCACTTGATAAATAGGAACCACCAGTTGACAAGACGTCCCAAGAACTCAAGATTGGGGAGGGGATCCACGAAACACTCCATGGTTTGAAGGAAATCCCAAAAAATGAGGAGAGGAGATAATTTCTGCAGAATTAAGTGTATGATTTCCTTTTGCTGACATTGTTTCTATAACCTGGATCAATTGAGTCTTCCACTGGTTATCTTCCTTCTCTAAGAGTACCCAACCACAGGCTATGGCTTGCATGCATACTAAAATCAACCCCATCTAATCTTCATCTCAGCCAATGTCCCACGGGGTTGTTCCATAACTGACCTCTGAACACGTGACAGCAAGAATCAAAATTTGTAACTCTGAAGAGAATATCAATCTTGAATAAGAATCCCTAACTATGAGTACCTATAATGAATGCATGAAGATGCATGTGGTGCATGAGTGGATACCATATCATGTTCCGTCATTTCCAAGGAATTTACATGCTTTGATTTTGATTTTAAGCAGGTAAGGGATGGAAAAGTTCAGCATAAGACTTAAAGATATGATTCCCTGGAAATAACATAACATGTATGTTAATCAGGTGGTAAACCATGGATGTATGCAAAGACATGGGATCAAAGTTCCATCACTTCTGAATATGATTATTGCACCGTTTCTGAACCATTTGAATATCACATGATTAAAGGAAATGAACCATCTAAATATAAGAACCAAGTACCATGAATATGAACAACAGTATGGGATCAAGTCTCCCCAAACTGGATATCTGTTGTACTGCTGCATAACCGGATGTCAAAGATTAAAGGCTCGACACCAATATCACAACTCAAGGAACCAAGTATCAAGATCAACATTTGTACATGTATGAATTATTTCCCACCCCACATCACGGGTAAATTCTAATCAGAACATGGTCCTTAATGATTATCAGAGTCGGGAGTTCTCCATCAGAACACCTAGTCTGTGCACAAAGGGCATAACACAAAAGGCATCGTCAAGAAAACCTTATCTGAGTGTGGTATCTCATGCCTCCTCACACGTATCAACAAAACACAAGATTTGACATGAGTATCTGTCTAACCTATGTGTCACTGGCCTGGGTAATTGGCCTTTTACCTCATGAAACACCCTCCCATCAAGGAAACAACACAACATAACACATCTGCATTATATGGAAAGTAGTAAAGTGCTATGCAAACATATGCATGAAAGCATGTAAATAAATCATCAATAAAACAATAACACGCAAACACCCAAAGACAAGAAAACAAACAAAATTCAGTATCGACTCGCATAGGATGGACCAACAATTGGTTAACCCTTCCCCAACAGAGTCGCTAGCTGTCGCGTCTGGGATTTTCATCGAAGCGCGAAGAAGGCGAAAGACAGAAGAGTCGCCATCAATGTTATTGTTCCCAAGATAGGGAAAGGAAATACTGAGTAAACTTGAGGAAAGGAAAGGAGCATGGTCATCGGGACCAAGAGATAAGGGTAAGGAAGTCGGTTACGCGAGGAGAAGGTATTAGCACCCCTCACGTCTGTGATACTCCACAGGATCCACTTAAGCTTGTTCTAATCTAAGGGTGTATCTAATCTACGTCTAAAGCTTAATGCTAAAAGGGAGATGCATGAATGCAAAGTATTATGTACAAAAGAAATTTTTTTATTAGTTGTGTCTGCCATGGTTATGAACCTTCGTGCCTACGTACCACCGACTATGCAGTGGGGATCAAGGAACTTGTAGTTCACCTCAAAAGTTTTGTTGAGTTGTATGTTTTTTATGAATGATGCTAGCGAAGCATTTCCTTTTTTAAAAGGTTTTAAAAGAAAAAGGTCTGAAGGCAAAAAGGTTTGCATTGGTTGGTATTTTTTTTACCTAGAAAAAGGGTTTTTGTAAAGTTAGAAGTGTTTTGTGAATTTTCTAAAGAAAATAGTTTTTAATTTAGTCATGAAAAAGGGAAAGTAAAATGTCTAATGGAGACTAACCTAGTGCTATCACTATTGTTATCATGCAATAATAATCCTAAGGTTTGGATTAACAAAGGGAGAACCTACCTAGTGTCGGCATGCATATATTCAAGCCTAATGTCTAATTAGTTCAAACTTGAATGAGAGTGAACTAACAATCCTAGGGGATCATGTGATCACGCAATGGAAAGAAAACACACAAAGCTTGAGGAGTATCCACTCACTCAAGTAGCACACACCTAACCGAGGTATCATGTCACCAAGGTAGGAAGGGGAGAGAGATAACACCTAACCACAATATCGTATCATTGAGTTAGGATAAGGGAAGAAGGGCACCTAACCATGATATCATGTCATCAAGGCAGGATAAAAGGAGGCTAAACCAAGATATCGAGTCATCGAGGCAAGCAAAGATGTAGGAAATCAGTAGCTTTTAACCGTGATATCATGTCATTAGGGCAAGAAGAATAAGGGTTATCGACCCTTAACCAAGATATCATGTCATCTAGGCAAGAGAAGAACAAAAGTGAATCGTCATATGCGACTAAACACCTAACCAAGATATCGTGTCATCTAGGTAGGCGATAGAAGGCAATAATGAGATCACATCGAAGCCTCAATGTTCGTGGATATGAGCTAAAGACAAAGCGTGAGGGACTGGTTACAGATCCCTGTATTCCATTTGACACACTCGATAACAAGAGTAGCACTGTTCATAGCATCAATGTATGACGTGAGCTACGAGCGACCTGGGGGACTAAAAATGGTGGGGTCGATTGCAGACCCTCTGCTCTCCTTGCCTCCTTTTGAGGACTTATCAACGGGGGAATGGGAATGGGACGCCTTCTTTGAGGTCTTTGGGCATAAATGTAAATACACAGAAATCGCTTTCGTCGAGGACTTTTAAACAAGCAAGTACAAGCACAAGTAGGAATTTCCTTAAACAAGGTCTTTAAATAAACCAGATTTACCTCAATGGGACTCCTATAACATACATCTCTAGTCCTACTTCTCATGTCTAGGAAAGCAGTAAATCATGCATCTCCATTCCTACTTCTCATGGCAAAGAAACCGATAAACAATGTGGAAATGAGGAATAAAATAAAGTCACGATGATACCTAACAGAGAGGGTCTATTTCCTCTTAAGAGCCATGTAAGCTATAAGAAAACTCAACCAAAACTTTCTCGAACCTTCTTGATGAAGAATAGGCTCTTAGCTCGATTGGAAAACTTCTTGGGACTCTTGACTTGGGTCTCTTTTATTTATCAATGTCTCAAAAAAGTCGATCCAACAAAAAATTAAAAATTCAATTGAAACAAATACATAAAAAAGAAATGATGGATCTTCAGGAGGTAAAAAGTTGTAGATGGTGGTATGTTGCAAGCCAAACCCAGACGCTAGGCCCACAACATGTAGCTCCAAGAAGTTTTTTTTTCTTCAAGACTGATGCTATACCAAAAGCAAGAAATGGGCCCATGGAAGTGAAATTTGGGCCCAGGTCCAAAGAGCCACCCGCTCCACTCTTATTCACATCAGAATTATTGCTCAGAAAAGAAATAAAAAAAATTTAATAAGGGAAACAATGTCGTTTAGGTGTAGATAAGGTTGGGATTTTTCATCTTCCACGGTACAAAACTCTCCATCTATCTCTGAACCACACACGGCGGTGTGTCTCCTTCTACTTCTTCCATTCCGCGACGGCTATAACCTCTGGTCTCTTTTCTCCGATCTCTCAGCGCTTCTGTCGAATTCCGTTCATCACTTCCTTGTGATCATCACTCTGTCTCTGCTTCGATTTCATCTTCATCTCATTCGTCGGTATGATTCCAAAACATCCCGTCTCTGATCCTCTTCGAAGCTCCGTCTTCGCCTCAATATTTATTCGTCGTTCTTGACCGCGACTACATCGCGGCTTCGCCGTCGTAAGAGACCACTCAACAAACTTCTGATCTCAGATTTGGTTCACACAAACGAACTTCATATCATGCCAGCAAGATCAAGGGAGAGAATATCGGAGACAGTGGAAGAGTGATTTACCAATCGGAGATGCTCCGACGACGGAGCTAATAGCAGAACCGGAAACAAACTCAGGTACATATAACTCTGCTTGTCTGTCTACTCTTTGCTTCTGTTTCTTCTGAATTGTACTCGCGTTGATGATGTTGCGATGTTGAGGCAAATGATGAAACATGATGAAGATTGAAGGTGAGAGTAAATATTCTTGAATATGAAGCTTGAAGATGATTGAATGCTCGTTAATGATGATGTGAAGCTTTGGTTCTGTGTTGAAATTGTCGAGATTATTGTGAAGACGTGATGATGATTGTTGCGGATTGTATTTTTGAAGTTTCTTGGTGATTGTTGAAGGTTGAGATTCATGGTTCTGGAGGTTTTGTTAATTGCAGAAGATGAAGATAAAGGCGAAGATTGAAGTGAAGTGATGTGAGGAAGATGAAGATGGAATTCAGAGAGAGAGTGAAGAAGTTTGGTGATTGAGATTGAGAGAGTTTTCCAAATATTTTTGGTGATTCTTCTGGAAGTTGAAGAATGATGAAGATGAAGATGAAGATGAGAGGAGAAGAGAGAGGTTGTTGAAGAGTTTTGTGATTCTTCTAGAAAAATGGAGAATGAATCAATTGAGGTCAGTGTCTGTTTTTTATCTTTCTGTTAGATCTAGAAGAGTTAGTTAGATGGAATCAGATTTCAGCCCTTGGATTAATAAAATCTGTTATAGGATTGAAGGGTCTAGATTGAGGAGGTTAGACGTTTGTTATGTGGTTAGTTGGGAGCTTCAAAAATTCTGTTAGAGTTTAGTATTTCAGGTCTTAATTGAAGGGTGGGATTTTTATCAGTTAGAGGTTTTGGAATTAGCTTAGGTGGATAAGGCTGAGACTGAAGTAAGTTGAGAGGTTTTGGATGTTGGTTATGAAAATTGAGTTAATATGTATGTTATGGTTATATCAGTTAGGGGTTGTTCAGTGTTAGTAGGATAACTTTTTGCTGACTAGTTAAAACAAAATGCTGGATGGAAATTGATGAGAGTTACTTGGTGAACAGTAGGAATTTGAAGGTTAGTAACAGAATATTAATTGGACAGGGGCGAGTCGTTGTGCATTGCAGTTTCAAATGTCAGCTCTCAGTCTAAAATTTATGAATTTAATTGTTGAATTTGCATCTGTTTTGCAGGCCGTATGTTTTAAGCTGTTAAATTGGTGATGAAATGTTTCAGTTAAGGGATACACGGCGACTCGTGGCTGTTTGAATTATTTTTGGCTACTTTGCAATGGTGCAGGTTTTTGATAGGTTTTAATTTTGTAGCTGAACTATGATATATTGCTCCGATTCATTGGACAGGATGCTGAATGTAAATCGAGTCTGAGTGTGAAAATAAATTGCATTGTATTTTTCTGCTTTGACTCAAATTGGTATGCACTGATGATGATGACCCTTAACTGATTTTCTGGATGAATGTTAAATGTATTGCAGGCTGCTAAACTATTTTTCTGATTGAACTTGTGGACTGTTGAACCGAGCTATTTATTGTGTTTGTGAATACAGCAGGGCTGCCACGATTTGGATTCATGTTTGGTGCAGGCCTGGAACTGTTTTGATAGTTTGTGAAGGTGTAATATCGTGGTTTTGGAGGAAAGCAAGTGAAGTCTTATGAAGATAGCTTGCAGAAAATGTAGATGGAAGGAAGTAAAAAATTTTAGGACATTAGGATTATTCTTGAACAAAATTGATGTATTTCTTGGTATGGTGTAAAGGACTTATGATGATGTAATGATTTTTAAAGTGTAGTGAGTCTTTAGTTTTATAATGAGGCGATTTGAAACACGACAAATATTTTAAGGAATGCGCCTCTCCATTGTTTCACTCCATTTTCATTTGAAAATTCTAAGTCTTTTCCTTTGGTTGTAGCTTTAATGGCCTTTGTAATGTCTTGCATCTTAGAAATGACATTGGACTTGAATCCTCTTATTTTTCTTTAAGCTCTTGTGGATTAAGTAGCTTGTATGCCATGTTTGATGTTCGAAAACGCCACAAGAATATATCCACAAGGAATTGGATAAAAAATAAATCTTGAATTATGAAGAATTATGCTTTGTATGATCTTGAATAATGTCTTGAGTGAATAGAGGTCGTACTGATTGTTACTTAGATAACAAGAAATCTTCTAGAACAAATTCCTCAATCTTGCATGCTTATAATCTTTGATAACCTCATAAGTAATGGCTTATATCTAGCAATTCAAACCACACGATATCTTGATCTTAAAACAAAATAAATGCTCTTAGGGAATCCCCGAGGATGAGTATGGAAAGAGGGTAATCAAGATGACTATGAAGTAAAACCTTAGCCCACTGAACTTTTGTTAAAGAACCATCCCCAGGCTCCAACACGATGAATAATGAACCCTAATCATGTAACCCAACACATATCTCAATTTGAAGCGATGATGAAACCCTAATTCACACATCACTGCTCAAAAGAAGAACCAAGTGAATCAACTTTATTGGATGAAGTTTCACACCAAAAGAAAATCCTAATCTTGTGTGATTACCGATCTTTTGAACCTCAAGTGTTTTATTTGAATAAATACATGTTAATGCATATGACCTAATGAAATATATATATATATATATATATATATATATATATATATATATATATATATATATATATATATATATATATATATATATATATATATATATATATATATATATATATATATATATATATATATATATATATATATATATATATATATATATATATATATATATATATATATATATATATATATATATATATATATATGAATTCGAAAGCCTACGACAGATAAAAATATCAATTAGGAGGACAAATTTTAAGGTGCAACAATTATCATAGGTTAATACAATATAAAAATGAGGTTCATACTATTCTTATGGTGTTATCATTTTTATAATCTAATAATGATATTGTTTATTCACAAGAATGCAAGAACATGCAATATAAAATTTGGTGTATTATTTGATTTGAAGTTTAAAGTATGATAATGATCAAATTAATGTCAAATAATATTGGAAATATTATTACATAATAATACATTTTTTCAATAATAAAAAAGTAATTCTACTTTGCGTTTTTCTAAAATTTTGTTTTTTTTTTAAATTAAAAAATAAACGTTTGTGAATTTTATAATTTTTTTTTATGAATTTAGTTTAATAAAAATTAAACCGATTAAATCCATTTGATTAATCCGACAAACTGATCTAACTGAATCCATCAAAAACCATAATTTTATCGGTCGAAGTTGGGCTATTAGAATGAAACTGCGATTTGCATCGGATTTAACTTTTGGGCATGATATCGCTCCAAACTGACTGATTGTCCAGCCCTAAGACATATACTGATTAGGGATGTCAGACATGCTCCGATTGTGGACCAGAGACCGCGACATATAGATGGACTTGGCAGAGCCGACTTGTATGCTCAGATAGAAAAGATGGAGGCACTAGATTGTTGGTGTAATTCAGAGGGTCAAACGAGGAGAGTTTTTACTTTGAGAACTTTCCTTTTGAGCAACAGACCTTTGTAAGAGACACACCACATACTCACCAAAAAATCTTAACGTGATATGTGAGTGAGTTCTCTCACTAATAAATGCTCAAGTATCTATATTCCTTATGAATATGATACTTTCCCACACTACTCGCACTTGTAATTATTTTTTCAACACTCTCCCTCAAGTGTGAGTTTATCCAGAATGCTCCCCTCAAGTGGAAGCTCTTTTTTCCACATACAGTTGTACCACCATTGACACTTTTCAACGAGACACTCTTACCCACCACCATGTGGGAAGTACTTTCGATACAAGTAAGTTGGTCCATCCACTTGAAACCAAAGGCTCATGATACCGTTTGTTGGCAAAATTATGGGGGAGATCAAACGAGGATCTTTTTTACTTTGGGAACTTTCCTTTTGAGCAACACACCTTTGTGAGAGACACACCTTTGTGAGAGACACACCACATTCTCACCCAAAACTTTAAGGTGATAAGTGAGTTAGTTCTCCCACTTATAAATGTTCAAGTCTCCATAAATATGAGGTACATATTTAAGTGTCGGTACAACTAAAGTAGACTCATGACACATGTGTGCCTACTCAGGTGGATTAAGATTATGAATATTCCTCTGAGTATGATTATAAAGATCAAGAGGGCGCTGATCAGGACAACATGCACGGGAACAACAATCAGGTGGATGATGGATTCTTAAACAAACGCTTGTACTTTTAATTATTGTTTTCCTTTTGTAACTCAATAATGTAACCTCATAGCAATAAAAGTGAAATTTATGGCTTTTGGGTTTCACTTGGGTCTTTGGGTCGATTGCATGTTGGTTTGTTTATTTGCTCATTTGGACCTTTGATTCATGCTCAGAGGCTCGAAATAGCCAGTGTTTATGTTGAAAACCCTTCGATTGGGTTAGTTTATAGAGTTATGGTTTTGTGAGTGTGGGATCTTTCGATCCAAGCATTTGGTTAGTTTCTTTGTGTTTTGGAGGGCGGATTTGGACTCAGGGGGTGAAATTAGGTAGGGTTATTTTTGAATTTTTGGATTTGGGTTGTGTTTGGTGGGGGTTGGTCAGAGAAGATGGTGGTGGCCATCGTGGGCCGTCGCTCAAACCTATCTTCGACAAGGATTATGTATAGAGACAGAGAGAGAGAGAGAGAGTTTGGGAAATGAGGACTCCTCTCTCAGATCCCCTCATTTTACTCTTTTTTCACCCCAACTGTAGATGGACGCGTGGCTCAGTAGGAAACTTAAATCAAGTTGATTGTTGTGTTGACCAGGGGATCCCATGTGGTGAGCCCCATCATAATAACCATGCATTCTCCCTTCCATCCACTAGATTTTTCCCTCTCTCCATCAGTCTTATGATATCCAACGTATGAGATTAAAGTCATCCAGTTGACTCCTCTTGGACCGTTTATTTACTAGTGCTTAGGCCCCTAACTAGCGGGCCTGAAGTGTTTTACTACTCCCCACCCCCTCGTTTCTAATTGCATTTCCTCTTTTATTTTATTTTATTTTATCTTGTTTATTTTATTTGGGCTTCAAGCCCAATCATAATTTTTTTTGCTTCATTATTATCCCCAAGCATACAATGTACCCAATTCCCTCTTCCTTGTAATTTTTTTATTTTCATTTTCATTTTCTTTTGTTCATTTATTTATTTTGTTTAACTTAATTAATTAAGATTAAACAAATTAAAATTGACCTTTCCTAATTAATTTAAATTAAATCTTTGATCAACATCAGGGGTCTCTTTTCAAAATCACAATTAAATTAACCTCTAAATTCTTTTACCCTTTCTCAATTAAAGTCAATCCATTATCCATAAAATCAACTTAATAACTTGGTCAACACCAAGCTCATTTTCTTCATAATTAAATCATTTTCAAAACCCTTTTCACAATAAAATTATAATGAAGAAGGGAGGGATTGGGCGTATGCCTCTTCCTTCCCCAAGTAATTGGACATTATTGTAGAGCTCACTGTTTGGGTACTCGTTTTTCAAATCAAAATATAATAACTAGCCGAGTTTAGTTCATTATTTCACCAAACTAAAAAGGATTTATTGGGCGTAGGCCTCTTCCTATCTGAGTATTCATATATTGTTTTAGAACTCACTACTTGAATACTTTTCTTTCGTTAAGGAATTGTGACTTTACTCATATGATCTACTTTTAATATAATAAAGTAATACACTAGCATTATTACTTAAATCTCCTAACTCAAGCTGTTAAACAAGCTTAATTAATTCCCCTAATACTAATTTCGTACCTATAATTATTACTTAACCTACACAATACCCTAATTAAAAAAATCATTAATGTGTCGTAGTTAAGCTCAAAGGTTTTACTTTTGCATTGGAACAATGCAAACCCTTCATAATTCCAACATAGAAACCCTTTCTATTCATCTCTATTATTTATTTGAACTAAACTAATCATTTTATTTATCTCTTTTGTCTCTCCCGTCATCTTTTCCCTCTGTTCTTCTATCTCTTCCATCTTCCACCATCATTCACAAACCCGGTTTGGGTATGCTTCTTTTTCCTTCATTACATTCATCTATTTTGTTTATTAAGTGTTTTGTTTTAACATTTTGATGTTGGACTGCAACCATAAAATGAGTCGAAAGATTGGTTGTATTAAGGACATTAACGACACAAAAGAGACTTGGAGATTGGCAGTTCAATTCATTTGTGAGTTATTGGATCGAACTCTATTGGATCGAAGAGTCGCTTCTAGATCGATAGGATTTATGCATGCCGTCGAAGTCTGCTAACATTTTGTTGTCAAAGACCTATATATTGTAGTTGAAGTGTGTTCTAGTATGTGGATGTCAAAATGCTAGGGTTGTTAGTATTTAAAATTAGGCATATTTGTTATATCCAATTGTTTAAGTTAACTTGTATCTTAAGTTAGCTTGTAATGGGTATTTGTGAAAAATCCCATCAGTTTAGTATGTTAGGTTTTATTATAAATATCATACTAGTCTCTCATCATTGTATACTGTAAATCCTAATTTAGGGTGAGAGAGGTTATTTGTTATTCTTGAATACTTGTAATTTAATTTGAAGAGAAAGTAAAGAATAGTAGTTATAACCA